TCGGGGTCCGGAGTCGGGGTTCCTGTCAGGACTGAGGACTCGGGGCGGGGACCGGGAGCTTCTCACGCACCGCGCCGCCCGCGGTCCTGTCAGGCTGCGGCCGCCTCCTCACGGCGCTCGCGCTCAGGACTGGTCCGCCTGTCAGGAGGGCCGGCGCGAGCCGCTGGACGCAGCCAATCAGCGCTGAGAGCGCACTGCCCACCAATGGGCGTTCAGGACGCCGCTGCGCGTGGCGGGGGCGTGGCGGGGGCGTGGCGGGGGCGGGTCAGGTCCTGTCAAGCTGAGGTCGCCTCCTCAGAGCACTCGCGCTCGGGACCGGTCCGCCCCTCAACAAGTCCGGCGCCGGCCGGGTGGACGCAGCCAATCAGCGCGGACACCGCACTCCGCACCAATGGGCGCTCAGGACCCGGCGGGGCGTGGCGGGGACGGGGCCGAGCCTATCAGGCGCAGGCGCAGGCGCCCGAGTTCCGCGGCGGGGGCGGGCCTACATGTTCCCGCCCTAAAGAAGGTCCCGCCCCCTCCGCCCGGATTGGCTGCCGAGGGCTCAGCGCCGTCCCTCAGGAAAAGGGGCGGAGTGTCTGCAGCTGCAGGAGCACGGCCTGGGGGTCCGCGTAGGGTCAAGGTCAGGGTCCGGCAGCAGAGATGATTGTCGGGGTGCAGGAGATGAGGGGAGGGGGGTGCTCACGGTGGGCCCGGAGGCCGGGCGGGGAGGGTCCCGCAGACCCCTCAGACAGCGGAGGGGCTCAGGGCTGAGGAAAATGGTGCTGAGCGAGTACACTTCGGTGGGTGGCTCGTTACGGGGATCAAGGGAGGGGCGGAGCCTCGAGTCAGCGGGGCGGGGCCTGCGCGGGGCGGGGCCTTGGAGGGTGTGGCTTGCTGGAGACGGAGCCGTGCGCCTCGGGAAGGGGTGGAGCCTGGGGAGGGGCCTGCAGGAAAGAGGCGGGGCCTGGTGGAGAGGGGCGGGGCTTGTTGGGGGCAGGGGCGGGGCTAGGAGGAGCGCAGGACCTGCGGGGAGGAGGGCGGAGCTGGGACTGCAGGACTGCTGTGACCGCTCCTGAATTGCTGTGACTCCGTTTTCTAAGACGAAAGGCGGTTTGCAGGACCGCGCCTGGGCGCAGATCCTCTGTCCGTCCGAGGTGGTGGCAGCCCCCGGGCCCGCACACAGCGTGCTGTGCCCCACTCGCGCGCTCTGAAGCTCCCGCTGCCTCTGCCTCTGCTGGCGTGTGCACGCGCGCCTGCGGGCAGCGTTACCCTTCCTCCGGGCCAGCATCCCCCGGCCTGCGTCAGTGACAGCGTCGGCACAGGACGCTAAAGAAAAGGTTCGTTTGAAATCAGTGAAATCATTGACAATTGATAATTTTGATAATCGATAATAATTTGATAAATTGATAATTTTCTCCTGGCATTCATTTCGCTTATAATTATACCTCCCCTTCGGTTAAACATTTTAGTAACTCAGATGCCACGTAAGACACCATAGGAAGCCTGGCGTGGTGGCAGACGCCTGTAATCCCAGTACCTGGGAGGCTGAGGCAGGCATATCGCTGTGAGTTTGAGCCTTCCTGGGCTACATGGTGAGTTGAAACCCAGCGTGAACTACAAGACCCTGTCTTGAAAAATGAAAACAAAAGACACCATGGAAACGAACAGGAGCTCTTTGGGCCTGGCTCATTATTTGCAGGCAGAGTGGGCCTGTCAGCGCACCCAGTGCGGTGATTTCAGTGGTTGATGGAGCCCTCGCCTTGGGCTGAGGACAGCGGCGGACACCAGCAAGCGCAGGACAGCAGGCGTGCGAGGTGAACCTCCTGGGACAGGCCTCCCCGCTGCTCCTGCCTGGAATCTGCTTCCTTGTGTTCCCTCTGCTTTTTTTTTGTACTCCCTCTTCTGCCCACCCAGGCCTCCTGCTACCCTGGTGCCCTG